CCTTTACGACCTCTTTGTCCTTTTTGAAAGAAATTGCATTACTGCTTAAACAGAAGTAACAATTTGGTTCTTTTGTTTACACTTATTTAAATTACAAATAAAATAAATCATTTTTAAATCTTTTAAAATATAACGATTTAAATAAATTAAGCACAATTATAACGTGCGAACAGCGTCCAGTAAGAACGCAGTTAAATAACGCACACAACTCTTAAGGACTTTCCTCGATTGCTTCGTTCCACTACTTTCTGTTCCGTTTTTTATGTCGTAACTTGAAAATAAATAGACAATTGTATAATCATAAACGGAATCCCTTCTGTTTGTCTCTACCTAAAACCCTAATCCTGCCCCCGACCCGTATGACGCAGATACGCTAATGAATGCGGGTGAGTAGGCGGATCTGTGGCGGACCAGAGCTCGTACAAGGAAGTCCAGTGCTTCCCATCATTTTTATAGTAACTTGATTATTTATTTATATAGTTTAATTTTTATATCTTCGTTTTTGCAAATTTGCAAGTTAATCATGACCGAAAACAGAATCCACGTGAGTCATGGTGAAATAGAATCGAAGGGTTTATTCAAATTGAAGTTACAGTTTCTACTATTTTTTTACTAAATGAATCAATTTTTTAAATTACAAAGTAGAAAAAATTGAAGTGACTGTTTCTACTATTTTTTACTAAATGAATCACTTTTTAAATTAAAAAGTTATGCATGGATCACAATTTGTGTATAGTAAGGAAAGAATTTTTAGGTAAACATTTTAAATCGTATATTCTAGCAGTGGTGGCACGTGGTTAGGTTGCACAACCCTCCAGATAATCGAAAAAATGTTATAATGTGTTAGGTATATACATTTTCCACTTCTTAACATTCTATATTTAAGATATTGAAGCTATATCTATATTTATGTGCCCGTCGAGCGTTTTCTCTGGTGTCTCGTATGTTCCCACTCTTGTGTGCACCATGTTTCTCCCTCAATGCCCATTCACAATGCAAGCACAAACACAAGCATAAAGCATAATTGTAAACATTAACATCAGTGATAGACTGAAGTCTATCGTGAACGTAACCAAATAAGAGTTTCTGTTGGCTGTGAGACACTCTAGTTTACTATTGGTTGGGTGTGAGAATCGATTTCGAGGTAGCGACGGCTGTGTCAATGGCCCATATGGCGTTAGTTCGTCTATCGATTTTGCTCCTCTGTCGATTTTGAGTTGACCTGCTGTGATTGTTTCATTTCTTGTGTCTTACTTAAGCATAAGTACAGAAGTTTGAAGCTTGCAAGCTTGTAAGTTAACGTCTTACGTGTTATGCTTATGCGAACGCATTACTTTTATGTTACGCTTACTTTTATGTTAACGCCATGCTTATGCTTATGTTTACATGGCGAATGGGCCTTCAAGCTTTATTACTGCGTTTACTCTTTGGACGCGCATCCCTACGTTCAACATATGAATACCCTTGTTTTCGCTCTGCAACGTGCCACCGGCTTACACCACAGAGTGAACGGGTGGCGCGGTGTCCGAGGGGCTTACAAACCTTCTGTCTTCGTCAGAAACCTACTGCAACTTAATGTTATGGATTTCGCGTTATTGAAAGTACAGAAGTTCAGTCAATTCTTGGAGGTATTGAATGAATTATTTAATGTGTTATGGTGCATTTTCATTTGATGTACAGTTTGTTGACTCAAAATGTATTTTTGATGAGTCCTTTAAGTTGGCCATTCTGAAAGAAAGTCTCTCCTGAATAAAGTTCGTCCTGGCAATTATTCTACGAACGTCTTTGAAAATAGGAGTGGGTGTGTGGAAGATGTTTCATAATACCACGGTAGAGAACTTTTCGAAATAAAATAATTGTATTTCGTTACCACCACCATAACAATAAAAACGATCATTAAATAACTAGTGAAAAACGTGTCCAAACAATAGTACATGTTGCAAAAGGGAGTGCGATCACTGTATTTTCAAATCCAAGTTAATTTTTGTTTTGTATGAATTCGATTAGCGTCAATTGTCTCCATGCAAAACTAATGCAAAAACCCGGGTGCCCACTGGAAATCAAAGCCAGAATCATGACCACAGTACGTGAGCATGCCTAACGTGAACACTACGCATAAAATTATATAAGTAATTTTTACATGTTTATGTCATCGTATTCTTATTTTCGCGCCGTGAAGGCACAATGTGCTCTTATGGACAGTGTTATTCTTGTGGAAAAATCTCGACCACTGTTGCCAAATTATTGCAAAAAAATGAAAAAAATAGTCCTGTAGAGAAAATGACAAGAGCACGATGGCAATAATGAAAAAAGTATCATTCTTTTACTATTCAAATAAAGCAATGAATCGATACAATATTTCAGTTACTTCAGGTGTGGGAAATGCTTTCATTTTATCAATATGTCAAAATGTATCCCTTTAAAAAAATGTCAATGAAAATTGTGTATTTTGTGCAATAGTTGCTAGGATATTTTCGTTCTTGAAGTCCAATTAAAAACTTCCAACGACTGATTTTTGGATAAAATGATGAAATTATTTTCTATCACCACCTGAAGGTCTTCGGATGTATTACTTCTGTGTATTTGGTGAGTGATTTGAACAAGAGGAGCGTGCGACATGAGATGACAACTCGACGGGAGACGCGAGGAAAAGACGAGGCACAGATTACGGTGATTGTGAGAGATGACGTGGCCTGTGCATACGGACTTTTCTTCTGGCTTCTTGTTCACGATCACGGCAAAGTTTTTGGGACATCTATTCGGTTTTTGGTTTATCTAGCATGTCCCGACATATCTCCTGTCAATTTTTGTGACGACGCTTGTTTATGGAATTCTCTGTATATTCTGCAAACTTGAATTTAAAAAAAAACTGATTTACGAAATTGGCTTGTTTTGGTCATAACACTTTCTTCTAGCGTTCCGTCAAAATTAATTTGACCTCTTTAGACTTGCACCATTAATTTCATTAATTTAGAAAAATATACCTTACTGGACATCAATTAAGAAAAATATATACATAGGACCCGAAAATCGAAGAACTGAAAACCTAGATTATCATGATAGTACTTTGGAAAGAAGTATGTATTAACAAGGAGGCAGTGGACTGTAGATTATTCCACGTTGGGTGAAGGTTTCAACCACAAA